GGAGGAAGATAACAAAACAAAAAACTTCCAGAATTATGAAAGACAAAGGCTTGATATTCTCAGGGTTTTATCAAGACTGTATTTTTCCTAACATTACATATGAGGGGATTTGTCTATTTAAAAGTCAACCTTGATTCACCGAAAATTCAGAATCAGTGATATCACTGTGATTTATCTGACTACCATAATTGGACATACTTCATTTTAGCCTTTTTCAGTTGAAAAATGTTTGCACCATGAGTATTTCCTTTGTTTAGCATTAATTAAAATCCTGCAGTATGTGGCATTTAGTAGTTAGTGCTGACACTCACAAGTATTAATCTGACTAAAATTAGCCTAATTAAGATTGTTATTAAGCCTTACACAAAGCAGAAGTGTACAACACAGTGGGTAGCAATTATCTTGGCTTTTAAATGACATTTAAATTGAAATGTGGATGAAGTACATTCAAATATCTGCCAGACCTTCCTCTTTAAAATAAAAACTTTAATATTCAAATTCTAACTCAAAGTCCTGTATGTTGTAGGTACCGCCAAAGTGTTGGTCGTTTTTTACATAACCAGTAACTTCTACTAGTTCTAAGAATTAGCAGTGATACGAAGTTTCTTTTTTTCGTTGGAACCAAGGTGCTTGATAAATTAAAAGTCAAGTCAGGGATCCAATCACCTTCACCAAGAATAGGATTGCTTTGGGAAAACTACTTTACCTATATTATAGTTTCAGAACTAATCATTTTTTTCCAAGAAATATCACAGCATATACCCATTGTAAATACCTGATAGAAGGAACTTTGTGAACACTAAAAAAAGAAACACGTAAATATCTAGTCTGAAAAACTCATTTGTTGAATTGTTCAGTTAATAAAAACATATTAGTGTTCTTGTTTTTCAAGTTGACATCAATTTTGTAATTGTATTTGAGGTGAAGCAGACAATCTAGTATACCATCTGAAGCAAAAATTGATGGCTTACAGATACACTTATGTATCTGATGAAGAACCTGTTCCCTTCTCAGGAATTAAAACACAAACTAGCCTGGCCTGCATGGCTCAGCAGTTGAGCATTGACCTAGGATCCAGGAGATCATGGTTCGATTCCCAGTCAGGGCACACGCCCGGGTTGCGACCTCGATCCCCAGTGGGGGTCATGTAGGAGGCAGCCCATCAATGACTCTCTCATCATTGNCGAGCTCGATCCCCAGTGGGGGTCATGTAGGAGGCAGCCCATCAATGACTCTCTCATCATTGATGTTCCTGTCTCTCTCCCTCTCCCTTCCTCTCTCTGAAATCAATAGACATATATAAAAAAAAAAACAACAAAAAAAACACAAACTAAAGTTGAATCTCCTGAAACAAGTTCTAGTAGTCTAAAGAGAAACAAAAGACAGAATATGGGTAGGTCGGTTCAAACAGAGAAATACATCATTAATCGGAGAAACAATAAAAGTAAAAAGCATATGACATTCTAATAGTGGGTTAGAAATATCTTC